TCCTCCTCCCTCCTCCTCCCTCCTCCTCCTCCTCATCCGTAGCCGCTGTTGCTCAAGCCGCCTCATGGCGCCGGATGCGGGGTGTACGCTTGGAGTGGTTGCGGACTCGCCCTGGGAGTGTGGCGAGCCAGTGTGGAAAGCGCGGTTGCTGCACGGCGGCAGCGGCGTGCGAGGGCCGTCGACTCGGCCGACAACCTCGTCAAGAGGCTCGTGAAGGATAATCGCGTCTTGCAGGAACAGCTAGAGGAGCTCCAGGCGATCGTCGGTGACGACTCCGAGCTGTCGGTGCGGCTCCTGCTTGTGGCCCCTGTGCTCGCGGCGGCGATTGCGGGAAGAGCGCCGAGCAAGCTGCAGATTGCGCGGCGGAGCACGGCCTCGCATTGTTTCCACGTCCAGGCCAGCGTTTTGTAGGTAGCGTCTCAAGCTGGACTGAACTGCATCCAGCGGCAGCCGGATAAGTTGGAAACGGTTCAACAGGTGGAAACCACGGAGCAGGTCAAGGCGGCAGATGCTGTGCTGCCTTCGGAGGAAGAGCTGGACTCGGAAGTGCAGGTCGTCGATATTGCCCCGCCTTGGTGCGTCATGCTGTGCTTTTGCGGCGCCACTGTCTTCCAGAGCGCGGCGACCGTGGAGACGGGTCAGGCCGAGATCGAGACGGCGGCGCCTTGGGCGCCGAATCCGGCGGCTCCGCCTTTCACCCTTCTCGAGGCCATGCACGCGCAGACCATGAGCTTCGGCATGCGCTCGCGGTCGCGCGGGCAGCCTTGCGTGCGGCGCCGTGCGAAGCTGGACGAAGCGTTCCGCTGCCAGCGTTGGGAGGCGAGCGCCGAGCGGGCTCGCTTGCTTGCCGACGCTGGCGCCATGCGAGGCGGCGCGGCGTCTGGCGACATCGGGCCCCCGCGGGGGATGACTGCCCAGCGGGTCGCGGTGCCGTCGGGGCTGACGGACGTCCACATGCTGTTCCTCGAGCTCGGGGCGGCGACGGCGGCCGCAGTGACGGGGCAGGCTACTCCATCGACGGCAGCTGCAGCAGCGCGTCCCCGGAATCGCGATTGCAAGCGGATGTGATGCAACTTGGCCAAAGGCGTACAAGCTGGAGGGTATCACCACTCTTTGTCGGCAGTGCTGGAACGATCCACGTTTTGTCACATGTGGATTGGAATAGTTGCCCCACGGAGGTTTGCGCTAACAGTTCGCTTTCTCCGCCGTGGAGCTCGGAACAGAGTATGTTGTCCCCCGCTTTCCTGCTCTTCGTCGCGTATGGCGTCAATGTCGACGCGCTCGGCTTCGAGGTCAGGGGCGGGGCACGAGATATGGATGTGACATCGTCATATTCTCACGTCTCCTCCTCCTCCTCCTCCCCCTCTCCTCTCCTCCTTCCTACCTCCCTCCTCCCTCCTCCTCCGCCCTCCTCTCTACTCCTCCTCCTCCTCCTCATTCCCTCTCGCTTGCAGCCCCCAGCTCCAGGGGCCGCGCCCCCGCCCACCCACCCGCGGCGGCAGGCGGAACCCGCCGCGCTGCTGCTGCGCTGCCCGCTGTGCCGGGCGGAGGGCCCCGCGGCGCCGCAGGCGCCCCCAAGGGGGGGGGGGTCCGCGCTTGCGCGGAGGTCGGGCGTTGCGCACCGGGGGGAGCTGACTCACAGAAGGCATGGCGGCAGCAACGACAGATCCTGGAGTCACATGGCAATCACTGGCTTAAGGTGGGGAAGCATGGAGCACATGACATGCGACGTGGGAGCATTCCAGTGCTTCCCTGAAGGCTACGGCTCCTCTCGTCCCGCCCACATGGGCGCGGCTTTGCCCCGGGGTAGAGCCGGATGCACGCTCGCTCGCTCGCTTGCTCGCTCGCTAGCTTGCCCACTTGGGTTAAGTCGGGCATGTCCTTCTACAGGAGGCACATTCAAAATGAACAAGAAATAGTTTGGGGACGATTCGGGATTTTTGTTGTGCGAATATGTTTGAGTATTTGTTTGCCTATTTGTAATTTTTCTTCCCGAATCCGCCTGTAGGAGGACATGCCCGGCGTAACGCTGGAGGGAGGGGCGGTCACCCTGTCCTTCCAGGACGGCCTGCGCGGAGGTCGGGCGCTGCGCACTTGGTGGGGGGGGCGACCACCCTGACCTTCCAGGTGTCGAAGGAGAAAAGTGCAGTAAACAGAAGCAGTCGTCACTCCCAGCGGATTTCTCGGATCTTCGCTGGCGCCTCCGGCGCCGTCCCTGGCGCTCTCCGCCAGGGAGGGGTTTCCAGCGCAGGTCCAAGAAATCTGGGCGGAACGCCAAAAGTTTATGTTTCTGGCATTTGTGTTCTTCTAAGAAGAATTCAACATATCATCGAGGATGAAACAACCCGCAGCCCTAAGACCAGAGTGAGGCCAGGGCCTCCTTTAGGTCCCCGTCCTGTCATCAGGGATAAGAGATCGGGGTGGTTGGGTCTGACACATCATCTGCAGAAGAGACTCCCTATCCCTAATGTTACTTGTTACTGGCCTTCCTAACCGAGGTCCCCTCCCAAAGGGTAAGGGGTCAGTGCATTGCTTCTTCAAGTAGCACCACGACCTGGATGCCGAAATTCCAGTCGAGGCCTTAGTAGTCCAGATAGGGCTGTAGGTCAGCAGTATGTTTTTCAACATTCTGGAAGGTCAGGGACGACTTGGGGCTGACAGGTTCACCCTGTGTGCCCCAGAAGAGCCCCCTGGGGCCCAAGAGGGGCACGAAGGGTGCATCGCTCTCCCGCCCCCGCACGCATCGCCCCGCCACGCCCGAAGAGGGTCACCCGCGGGCTTCCTGCTCGTTGGTGTTGTTCGCCGTGAGACACCGACGAGTAGGAAGCGCGCCCAGGGCGTTCCAGGGGTGCCCGGATCTTCCCGAACGACCAGCGCAGACCTTGAGGTATGTTCTGCAATTGAACCGGAGAGTTCTATTAGGGCAGCTTCATGATGGCTTGCGCGAAATAGTCGTGCAGCTTTTGTGGCCGGGACCAGTCTTGCTTCAACGCATCGGTGCTATATCCTCGAAGGAAGTCCTTTTCTGCTGTTGGTGTATTCTTGCGCATTCCGTGGTATGCCAAAAGGAATGCCGGAACGGTCAGCCCCTGGTCAGAAGACATGCAATGACACGGTTTCACGCAGTCGATCGGACCAAATCGCGGTGGCAGGGCGCCAGGAATGTTGGGAGTTGCTGAATCTATTTCTCATGGCCTCCCTACGTATGTTGTTTCCGCTTCCGACGGAACTGCCTGGAGCGGGGGAATCCTTTGCGACCATGTTCTTGAATTGATGTATGTCTGTTGCAGAGGGGGGATTGGCAGGAATGAGCGATTTTGTGGCTACTGCTGTCTGCTTCCGCAGTCAAAAGCTCCCCAAACAGGCCGCACCACCATTTCGTAATCTGCATGGTGGTTGGCCAGTCATGCAGTCGTCCATGCAGCCCGCCTTTCCCGCTGGTGGTCAGGGATTGGTCATTGTGGTCAGGGATTTGTGTGTTGCATATTTGGAGGAGGAGGAGGAGGACGGCGTTTACCGCTCCTACTAATGTTGCTTTCCTAGAGGCTCCAACTCCTAGGTAGGGTCGCACTGGGATAATTCCAATTTTTCGCCCCAAATCCCCCTGTAGGGGACACGCCCGAGCTAACCCTTGCCTAAGGTCACTCGTGCGTGCAGCCGAGCGCAGGCAGCAGGAGTCGGCCCTGGTGCGACCACGCCTCACCCTTCCTGGGAGCAGTTGAGCGGGGCGTTCCTGGGGCTTCCCGAAGGCCCAGGGGGTGCTCTCGAATCGCCGCCCTCCGTCGATCCCGGCACAGGGATGCCAAGATTGTCCCCAGCGCCCTCCTGGGGCCCACGCTGGACGGCCCCCGAGAGGAGCCCAGCGGAGGGACGCAACGGGTGCTGGCCCAGTCCCTTCTGGCGGACCCCCGGTTTGGGAGCCACCCCCCTCCCCTCCCTCTGCTGATCCGCGATTGGAAGCGGCGACCGAGGTTCGGTTAGGGGAACAGACGTGGCCGAGCCGGGTCAGGTTCGGTTTTGGGTGCGCCATGTTAGTGTTGGCGCGGGTCAGCTTGTCCCCGAGGAGGATCGAGTCGAGGAGGATCGAGGAGCGAGCATCGAGCATCATGGTTGGAGGAATGCAGATCGAAGCAGGGAAGTCACGAGGATCGAACTTTCAAGTTTTTGTGAGTATCGGTGGCGTTTGTGCGCAGGGAGCGAGGGCAGTTCGTGGACGGATGCTCACGGTTTTCGCGGTCGTTACTTTTTCAGACCGCGGAGCCGTTTGAGATCGATCGGGTATGGACATCTGGTCAGGATAAACACCGGGAGGCGTCCTGTTGGATTGGTGATGAAAAGATTTCGCCGCCGGGAGATTATCGGAGATTAAGGGTAAGTCTACCCTATTGTGTTGGGTATTCGTTTTGGTCAGAGCATTGCTGTTCCTCTCCTTGAAGTGCAGATGCCACCGTGCGGACCATGGATCGTGTATATGTCTATGTGTTTTTTTCTTCCTCGAGACCTCCTCCTTCGCCGCTTCGCTTGGGCAGTATAGAGGTGATGCGATGCCATCGGACGCCCACAGAATACACCTCCTCTGCGGCCACCTCCAGACTCCAGTTTCCCACAGGGCCCCCTCTCAGTGGGAAGTCGCTGATACAAGTTACTGAGACCAAAAGGTTCCCTTCGTCTCGCAGCTCGGAAGAACCTACGGTCCGATACGGTGGGGCCGTTCGTCACAGAATGTGCCCAGGAGGCCTCAGACCGTGGATGATTCCTCACCTGATGAGGGCGGCGGCGATGATGGGCCAACTTTCCACCACCTTTACCACGGGTAGCACAGGGGGGAAGGGAGAACGGGGAGGTCCTCCTCCTCCTCCCCCTCCTCCTCCTCCTCCTCCTCATCCTCATCCTCATCCCCCCCTCTCCCACAAGTAGTAGCGGTGGTAGAAAACCGGCCCATGAGGCGATATCCATGGCCAAGCCTCAACTGGCGTTCTACTGGCTTCCAGACCCCGGATCCTCTATCCCAGCGCGCAGGAGAAAGTGTGTTACCCTCTGGGCCTAACGTAACGCTCCCCCCCAGCACTGCCGCAGTGAGTCCAGCACCACAGTCTGGGGGGTGGTCGCCAGGTTATGCCCCCTCCCGCCCCCCCCCCCCATAACGCCCATTAGGGCCGCGAGTAAAAAGATTGGTTCCTGGCGTTCCAGTGGCTTCTAGACCCAGACCCCGACGTCATGATTCTTCACGTCGACCCCCAGAGGTCTCGACCCATTCCCCTGGACCGGTTTTTCATCCTGAGTCGTTGTTTGACGCTCCCGAGGCCGAATATATAGTGAAAGGGCCCCCGGAGGCCGAATATATAGTGAAAAGCCTCCCGTCAGGCTTTCTTCATTACGCGAGGGGGCCAGGGGACCCTGGATCCCTTCTCCCCGCGCGCAGTCCTCTGCTCTGCTCCCGCGCGGGCCGCGCCTGCGTCACCCCACGTTGGATCCAGAGGGCCCCCCTCGTCACCCCATGTTACCACACGCCCCCTCCTGCTGCTCCTCCTCCTCCTCCTCCTCCTGCTCCCCCTCCTCCTCCTCTCCCCCGCTCCGCGGGCCCTGCCTCCCGCGCGGGCCGCCGCTCCCCCCCGCGGGTATACGCCGGCCGCCAGGCCCTGCGCCTGGACACCCTGCTCGGGCGCCTCGGCCGACGCCTCTCCCCGCAGGCCCGGCCCTTGCGACGCGGTCTCGCGACAACCGACGACCAGCGACCGGTGCCGGCGGCGACGCACGGCGACGGCGTCCAGGGGCAGCACTACCCTGACCTTCCAGGAGGGCAAACGAAAATAGCACCTGGGCCTAGATACCCAGAGTCCAGTCGAGGTTTTTGAGCAGCCCAGATAGGTCTATATATATATATATATATATATATATATATATGTAGGTCTGGAGTCCTCTTTTGTAGCGCTCTGGAAGGTCAGGGTACGGGGGGGGACCGGCTCAGAGGGGGATGCGTCGACCCCCGATCGCCCATAGATCGTTAATCTGGCTCTGATAGCCCGCCCCGCCCAGCACCTTCCGGATTCGCTGTTGGGGGCCTGCCGCCGATCTATCGGCGACGTACAGGGCCGCCTCAGGCTCGACGCTGGCCCCCCTGAGCTGGTCCTCCCCTGCCGTTGCCCCTCACCGCACGGCGCCGGCGCACGCTGGCGACGATGGCGGCAAGGACCGGCGGCGGGCGAACCCTGAGATCCTGGCGTTGTTTTTTTCACACTGGGCGCTTTCGCCGGGTTTCGCGCCCCGGGGGCTACCTCGGGGGCGGCAAAGAGGTGGGTGATGACTAGGGGGGGTGGATATCATGGCGGGGGCCATGATATTTCCCCAGATTTCATGGCGCCTCTTCGTATTTCACTACGTTCCTGGCCCCCCCGCTGGGCCGCGCACATGCCGCCGGTCATGATTTGCACCCCCCCCTTTTGGACACCCCCCTCTTTGCCGCTCCCGACTACCACAAATAGACCCGGCTCGGAGAGTGCGGCGTCGTGAAGATGGGGCGTGGGGCTCCGGTCGCAACTTTGCCGCAACGCAGGAACTCAGGGGCGACGACGGCGGCAACGGCCAGCAACGGATGACGGGCGGCCGCGACGGCGTCGAACGGTTGCGGACGACGACGGGCGACGACGACGCTGACGACAACGATGACGACGACGACGACGACGACGACGACGACGACGACGACGACGGCGGCGGCGGCGGTGACGACGACGACGACGACGACGACGACGACGACGACGACGACGACGACGACGACGACGACGACGACGTCACGACGACGGTCGGCGAAGGACGACAATGGCGGAAGATTGCGACGACGCCGATGGGATGGCGCGGCGCCGACCCGCGGCGGTGGCGAATCTGAGACGTTTTCGACTTCGTGGTCCAGCGTGAAGAGAGGGAGAGATCGAACCCATGGCTCCATGTGTTCGGGCGTGCCCCCGTCACCTGGGGAACTGCAGAGGAGCAGGCAGACGTGGTACCTCGAGGGTGCTGCAAGCTGCCTGACCCAACATCCTGGAGGCAGCGATGCCTCACAGTGAGGTGGGAGAGTGAGTTGGGCGACGAAGCCTCAGGGAGAATCGTAGGCAAGTGGGCCATTCCGGAACGCTGGTCCCAAGATCAGGCACGACATAGTCCTCGTAAGCCCAGCCGCTACAAGTCATCTCACGTTGCATACTCGGGAGGTCGTGTCTGTTTTGTAAGTTGCCGTTTTTGTGTCAGACGCGGCTTTGACGCAGATTCGATGTGGATTGGGGTTGATTTGGCGCGGATAACGGCGCTGTGAAACAGATCGGAGATTGGGGGGTGAGATCGCAGTGGAACGGATACCCTCAAACGGGAAATCGTTTCGTTTCGTTCGTGTCGTGCGTGCGGGCGAGGCGAAGCTGCGTGGGCGCGCGCGAGGAATGAACCCGCCGTGTTAGGGCGAAGTCAAGACAAGTGATTCTCCCCCGCCCGCCCGCCCGTCTGGCGGTGGCTCGCGGTGTCCTGCGGTGTCCCGCGGTGTTCCGTGGTGTCCCGTGGACTCCTGTGGTGTCCCGTTGAGTGAGATCGACAGTGAGATCGATAGTGAGATCGATACTGAGATCGACAGGTGCCCCGTGGTGCCCCATGATGTCCCAAAAAGTGAGATCGATAGTGAGATCGACAGGTGTCCCGTGGTGTCCCGTTAAGTGAGATCGATAGTGAGATCGATCGTGAGATCGATATTGAGATCGATGTGGTGTCCCGAGGTGCCCCGAGGTATCCCGTGGTGTCCCGTAGTGTCCCGTTAAGTGAGATCGATATTGAGATCGATAGTGAGATCGACAGGTGTCCCGTGGTGTCCCGTGGTGTCCCGTCAAGTGATATCGTTAGTGAGATCGATATTGAGATCGATAGTGAGATCGACAGGTGTCCCGAGGTGTCCCGTGGTGTCCCATGGTGTCCTGTTGAGTGAGATCGATCGTGAGATCGATAGTGAGACCGATAGTGAGATCGAGAGGTGTCCGGCGGTGTCCCGTGGTGTACCGGGGTGTCCCGTGGTGTCCCGTGGTGTCCCGTTGGGTGAGATCGATAGTGAGATCGTGTTCGTCTGATGTTGCTTCCCCCCCCCCACAACCTCCTCATCACCCGAAGGGTGGTCGGATAGGTCAGGTCTCCCCGATATCCAGTGTGGGCTACTGTAGGCCAGGGTGGGCGCGATTGCACAGGCCTGCGCTGTGTGCGGGAGCGGGTGTGCTTCCCGCCGAGCGCCCGCGCAGGGAGAGGCGCTCTTCACCAAGGACCTGGCTCAGACGGACTCCGAGGTGCAAAGCTTCACCGCAGTGGCGCGCCCCCCCTGCCTTCGCTGACGGAAGCGCGTGGGCTCCCGCACCGGCAGGGCCCCGAGGCGGACCAGGATGCCGTCACGCGCGCGCGCCGCAGCGGCGCTTCTGGATAAGAGGGTGCACGCTCGTGCTCACCATGAGGATGCAGGTGTCGGGTGGGCGTCTGGGGGGAAATGGGGGCCCCGAGGCTGTTCATCGCCTTCGGCCTCCTCTTGGCCCCTCACCCAGGCGCAAGGGTCCTCAAAGAGTGGATCGTGATGGACAGACATGTGTCCGAGGTTGCTGACGGTGTCCCCGGCCCAAGGAGCCTCCAGCTTCTCGACCCAGGCTGAGGTCCCTGGGGCCCTCTGGGCCCTTTTGAGGGGTGCTCTGGAGGGCGCTGGGGGGCGTCCCTGGAGGGCCAGCTGGGGCACTTCTGGCAAGGGCCACTTCTGGCAACATTCGAGGGTGGTGCAGGGCCGGGGGGACGCCCCATCGGGGTCTCATCATCGGCGGGGCCATCCCGACCCCGACAGGGACAGGCCCCGGCCCCCCTCGAGTCGAGAATCTGGGATCGCGGCGGGCGGTCTGCTCGCCGGTCTCGGCCTTTAGGGGGGGGGCGTTGCCGGGCCTCGGGGCCGTGACAAAGACCACTCGGGTTGGAGAGCTGGTCGTAGGGAAGTGGTGGTCGGGAGGTCGGGGGTCCGCGTCTCGAGACGCTGGATGTCAGTGGAAGTTATTGGCCTTTCCATCGTCTGCAGACGGGGATAGTGCTGCAAAGCCCGCAAAACCACGGCCCCCCTTCCCACCTAAAGGGGGTTGGACCAGCCAGCGGGGCCAGGCTTCTCGAGTGGGGGTGGGGGTGGCCCAGTCGCAAGTCCTGGGAGGTCGACTGCAGCATCGGCGCTTGCATACCCGCGGTCGAATTCGCCCGACCATTGATTTTTTCCCTAACAGAAATAATTCGCTGAGCAATTAATGCTGTAGCTGTACTGTAGGGTGCTACAGTAAATAATTCGCTGAGCAATTAATGCTGTAGCTGTAGCTGTAGCTGCGACGAAGCTTTCGCGCGGCGTTTTTTCTGTTTTTTTACGACGCCGGGAGGTCTGGGCCAGGAAGGAAAAAGGAGTTAGAAAGGAATTTGATAAGGGATTTCAAAAGTTAGAAAAATCAGTTTTTTTCGATACATTTGTTTTTTTACGACGCCAGGAGGTCTGGGCCGGGGAAGAAAAAGAAGTTAGAAAGGAATTTGATAAGGAATTTCAAGAGTTAGAAAGGAATTGCGTTGTTGGGGTCGTTTTTTGTTTTTTGAAACGACGCCGAGATGTCTGGGCCAGGAAGGAAAAAAAGGAGTTAGAAAGGAAATTGATAAGGAATTTCCAGAGTTAGAAGGGAATTTCGTTTTGGGTGTTGTTCTTAAACAAAAACGAAACGACGCCGGGAGGTCTGGGCCAGGAAGAAAAAAGGAGTTAGAAATGAATTTAATAAGGAATTTCAAGAGTTAGAAAGGAATTTCGTTTTTGGTGGTGTTTTTTTTTGTTTTGTTTTTTACGACGCCGAGAGGTCAGGGCCAGGAAGGAAAAAAGGAGTTAGAAAGGAATTTAATAAAGGAATTCCAAGAGTTAGAAAGGAATTTCGTTTTTGGTGGTGTTTTTTTTTGTTTTGTTTTTTACGACGCCGAGAGGTCTGGGCCAGGAAGGAAAAGGAATTAGAAAGGAATTGAATGAGGATTTCCAAGAGTTAGAAAGGAATTTCGTTTTTTTGGATTTTTTTTTACGACGCCGAGAGGTCTGGGCCAGGAAGGAAACATGAATTAGAAGAGGATTTAATAAGGAATTTCAAGAGTTAGAAAGGAATTTCGTTTTTTGGGGCTGTGTTTTTGTTTACGCGCCGAGAGGTCTGGGCCAGGAAGGAAAAAAAGGAGTTAGAAAGGAATTTAATAAGGAATTTCCAGAGTTAAAAAGAAATTTCGTTTTTGGTGTTTTTTTTTTTTTCGCGACGCCGAGAGGTCTGGGCCAGGAAGGAAAAAGGAGTTAGAAAGGAATTTAATAAGGAATTTCAAGAGTTAGGAAGGAATTTAGTTTTTGGTAGTTTTTTTTTATTTTTTTTCACGACGCCGAGAGGTCTGGGGCAGGAAGGAAAAAGGGGTTAGAAAGGAACTTAATAAGGAATTTCAAGAGTTAGAAAGGAATTTCGTTTTTTTGGGGGATGTTTTTTGTTTTGTTTTTTTGCACGACGCCGACAGGTCTGGGCCAGGAAGGAAAAAGGAGTTAACAAGGAATTTAATAAGGAATTTCAAGAGTTAGAAATGAATTTCGTTTTGGTGGTTGGTCTGTTTTGTTTTTTTTTACGACGCCGAGAAGTCTGGGCCAGGAAGGAAAAAAAAGGAGTTAGACAGGAATTTAAAAAGGAATATCAAGAGTTAGAAAGGAATTAGAATAACTCCTTTTTCCTTCCTGGCCCAGACCTCTCGGCGTCGTAAAAAAACAAAACAAAAAAACAACACCAAAAACGAAATTCCTTTCTAACTCTTGAAATGCGTCATTAATTCCTTTCTAACTCCTTTTTTTCCTTCCTGGCCCAACCCCCCCGGCGCCGTAACAAAACAAAGCAACAACACAACCTCAAAAAAAACGAATTTCTTTTCTAACTCTTGAAATTCCTTATTAAATTCCTTTCTAACTCCTTTTTTTTTCCTTCCTGGCCCAGACCTCTCGGAGCCGTTTTGCGCTCAAGCCATTGAGCGTTGCAGGTGCAGGATTCAAAACGGCACTTCGCGCCTGCGAGTCATTCAGCTTCGGAGAGGGCCGTTCCCTCACAGTTCATAATCATTTCGCCGCCATGGGGAAGGGCGGCTATGGCAAGCGCGGCCCTGGAGGTCAGGGAGACAAGGGCGGCAAGGGTGGCAAGAGCTTCCCCTCGGCGGCCGCCCTCGAGCGCGAGATCGCGCTGTTCGACGGTGGCGGCTCGCCTCCTCCTCCTTGGGCTGCACGCATTCCTGGGCTGCAACAAGATGCTCCTCCAGCCCTCTGGACATGCTCGGCTTGCGGCTGCAGGAAGAATGAGATGCGCTGGTCTCGCTGCAAGCATTGTGGCTCTCAGTGGACCCCGTTCCAGCCATGCACGCCCTCCTCCTTCGGCACGCCTGGTGGAGTCTGGTCCGCTGGCTTCTGCGGCAACCTGCCGTACTCCCCATTTGCTGCTGCTCAAGGGCCTCCAGGCACCTTCGCGCCCGGCGACAATGGTGGTGGTAAAGGTGGCAAGTCGCCAGGCGGTCCAGCCAAGCCAGAGACCCTTCTTTCTCGAGAAGAGCATGCGTCTTTGGCGGAGCTGCTGGCCAAGTCTGGCGACGCGCTGGGAGCGGCTAAGCATCGTGAGTTGGCCAAGCCACCACCTGTGGCCAAGGAGCCCACCCTGCAGCACCAGGTCTCCATGGCCCACAGCAAGCTGCGAGGCCTCGAGCGGAAGTTGCAGGGCGCTGTTCAGAGGTACGAGGAGTGGTCGGCGCAGATGGTGGAGCAGCGTGCTTTGGTCACCAAGTTCACTGAGGAGTGCGAGCAGGCCGACGTTGAGCATCGTCGACTTGTGGCCGCACTTCATGCCCAGACGTCAGCGGCCGACATGCAGAAGGTGCCAGAGGACAAGGCCGTGCCATGTTCGCTGTCTTCGATCATGGACGGGTCCTTCACGGACAAGCTGGTCATCGACCCCTCGGAGCTGCTTGGTGGCGTCGAGGATTTCGAGCTCTCGGAGGCCGACAAGGAGGAGCTCGAGAAGAGGGGCAACCAGCTGCGAGAAGGCATCCAAAAGTTGGCACAGCGTCTGTTCGCGCAGGCCTCCGAGACTGCCAAGAAGATCCAGGAGGCACACAAGGAGCATCTCGGACGCCTGGCCAAGAAGAGGAAGACTGACGAAGGTGCAGCTCCTGGCGCTGATGGAGGTGGAGATGCTGAGACAGCCGCAGCCGACTCTGCCACTGGTCCTGCGGCAGCAGCAGCGCAGCCTCCAGAGGTGGATGCTGAAGCTACCGCTTCTGCTGCTCTACGTCAGCGGGCCGCCAAGATCATTCAGCATGGGCAGCCTGAACAAGACCCTCCCCCTGCTGTCGCGTGAGCTTCAGCAGGGGGGCCTTCATCGTGAACACGTTCAACCCAGCGGCACGCTCACTTGCCCAGCCTGGCACATGTTCTCTCCGTTCCCCTCGGCAGGGGACTTTAATGCTCTGGGCCTCGGCCTTGCACCTTGGGGCGGAGACGAGAGTTGCCCAGGCTGGCAAGCAGAGCCCGCACCCGCTGAAGCTGCAGTCGACGCTCGCCCTCGTGGGTACCTTCAGCCTGCTGCTGACGGAGTAGGGCTGTCTTTTTTCTTTCGGCGCCGTGGACCTTGAGGCCTCAGTTCCTCTTGTGCTGCATCCTGGATCCCTGGATTTTTTCTGGGGTTGTCTGGGCATGCCGTCTTGCCGTGGGAACCTCCAGGAAACGTTCGTTAAAACTGGAGGATCCCACGAGCAGTGCCCACCTTTTGCTCGAAGCAGCTTGGAATCTTTGGTCAGGGCGCTCCCCCAGCCTCTGGGGGCACCCGTTTTCGGGCCTGGTGAGCTTTGTGCCACCAGGGCACCATCTGGCTCGGCCTCAGTGTGCAGTTGCAGCTCTTTTGCCTTTCGGCGTTCCCGCTGGACCCCTCCCCACGTGAAGCGACTGTCTGCCTTTAAGAGATCGCACTCGTCGCTCAGTGGTGCGGTCAAGCACACCCTTTGGAGGGCCAAGCGAGTTCTTGCCTCTGGCTTTGCCAGCTTTGCACGAGCTGTTCACAGTGCTGCCTCTTGCGAGGCGCATTTTTTCGGGTTTGCCAACCCGTGTGATGAATATCCAGTGCTCGTTGACCTGCAGCCGAGCAGTCCTGTTGAGTTTTTCAGCGGCCCCTCGGATCCTTCGGTGAGTTTCGTCGCCTCGGGTTCCCCTGAGGCCTCTGGAGGCCACTGCTCGGCCCTTCTGGACAGTCTTGAGATTTGCATCCACACG